TGAGAGACTTATCCATATGCAAATTGAAATAAAGTTATATTTTTTAAAGAATTTTTTTTTAATTTTTGTGAAGGAAAACTAATTTATTTAATACCAAAAAAGTACCTTACATGGAGTTCACAATTCAAAATTAAATACGAGAGGATAAAAAATATGGGGAACTCAAAATTAATTACAAAATGATCTTCTAAAAATTTGAAAATGTGTGAAAACTAAACTAAGGTCATGTTTGGCAAAACATAACAACATGTTTTAATAAAACTATTTTAATCAAGGTATCAACTCCATGCAAATTACTCACCAATTTAATAATCCAACAAAGCAACAATCAAAGATCAAATCTTATTAGTTTCACTAATTATATTCAAATCGCAAGCTAATTCAAGCAAATCAACACAATTCTAAACATAATTTATGCAAAAACATTTAATGCCCAAATAGCAATCACAACCTAAGAAAAATAAATTAACAATCCAACACAAATTAATTATAAAATCATCTCAAATCCCAATATACATCAAACCAAATAAGTAGTGTCCAAATAAGTTCAAAATTATACACAACAATGAGCATTTTGTTCTAAATTTCAAAATATTTTAACAACTTATCCAATAAATAATTTAAGATTATGAATTGACCTTTTAAGGTGTTTTAGTGTGTCTAAAAACTACTATAATTAAGCCAAATGATTGTGGAACAACGGTGGAACAATGGTGGCATGTGAATCCACACACCACAACCACTACTGAAGGAGCGTGAGCTATAGGATCTGAAGCTTTTCTATGTTTTCCTTGCTCCTACATCGATGGTGAGACAAACAGACATATGAGGAATGAGATATACTTGGTTAAAGGTTCGATCCTCTTCTTTTTTTTTCTTCTCTCTTTTAGCTCTCTCTCTTTACTAGTTCTCAACATCTTCTTTCATTGTTACTGCTGGTTTTAAGTATGGTTGTTAGCATTATCTTGTGGGATAACATGAGTTCATGGTGGCAATGGGGTTGTGATATTGCCACAACCATTCATGGCTGGTTTTCTTAAAGATAAAAAGGTCACTGGTTGCTATACATTATGGATGTTTTTGTTGTATCTATTAGTAGAAAATAGGTGTTGCTCATAGTGGTTGGTTCCAGTGGTGGCTGTCACAATAGGGAGAAGAAGCTACTGGTAAGTCAATGGGTGATAATAGAGAAAAATAAAATGGTAAAAGATGAGAAGGATTGTCCACGTGAAAATAAGAGAAAAGGGGATGGACTATTGATTGTGGTAGAGAGGTTAAAGATGAAGCTTGAATTTTTTAAGAGAAATGATACTTATTTTAGGAATGAAGGCAATGGTAGGAAGAGATGCAAATTGATAGACCCAGTGGGATTTGTTTTGTTTACTTTGTATATATGGCTGACGGTTATGAATAAAAATAGGTTTTAAGTATTTTTGTGTTATTTTTTTATGCTCTAACTCTCTCCTCCTTTTATGTGTGAGATTCCCTTATTACTTATAGAAAAAAAATTATCTTTTTCCTCCTAATTTCTTGGTCCTGAAGCAAACTTGTTAACCAAGTAGTTCAAAATCACTTTGGTCCCTCATTTTTTTTTTGTTTTCCACTTTTGGTCTCAATGAGAAAAATACAAAAGTAATATTTAAAAAAAAAAAATACAAAATCAACATTGACTCGATGAGAAAAATAAATCAATGATTTTTAAATGAGCACGTTAAAAACTGAACACGTCGAAGTAAATTTTTGAATTTTGAATTCTTTAATTTGAAAAGACACTAAAAATACACAAGAAAACACAAATACATCAAAAATATATTTTTTGTTGTTTTTTTGCTATTTTTTTGGAATTTTTGTTGTTTTTTATAAAAAAGGGTAAAAATCGAGTTATGAAAATAATAATAATTTTATTGATAATATTTTAGATATTGATTGTAGTGATAGTAGTCAAAGGATGATAGTTGTAATGGTAGCGAGGTATGATGGTGATAGTGATAGTGATGAAACAATAGTTGTTGTGATGATAGTGATTGTGGTATTGGAGGGTTTGTTAGTGTATATGTTCTATAACCAATCAATTGGTTATATATGGATGACTTTATTCATGTAAATATATTTAATTTATTAATAAAAACTTATTTATTTTTAATATTCATCAGATACTTTATTAATAAATATCATATTTGATTAATAAATTTAAAGTAAAGATAAATTCCTCGAGATAAAAATATTTTATAAAGAAAATTATTAAGTTTTTATAATTATGTGATTCTTATTGCATCAAAACATTGTTCCTAAATGCTCCTAGTCAATGCTCGATTAAGACTAAATATTAATTAGAGCTATTAAGAGCGAGACATATTATGCTCTTTTCTATATTAAAGAAAGTAGTTGTTCTCATAAGTTAAGGTATGAGAAATACCTAGAATTAATATGTAGGTGCTTGTTGGATGACATGTACACTGAATTGGCTTTTTTCTGTATGAAAGAAAGTAGTTGTTCTCATAAGTTAAGGTATGAGAAATACCTAGAATTAATATGTAGGTGCTTGTCGGATGACATGTACACTGAACTAGCTCACATGAGAATTCCATATAGAGAGATCATTGTGTTTATAGAAAGACTCACATGATAGTTGTGTAAGTGATTTTTAAACTTAAAATCACTGAGTTATCTTATATAAAAAGTGTTGTGTTTTGATGTTGCTACACGTTGTCTTAATTAAGGGTAACACATGGATAAATATTGGGTATAACATGAACTATATAAATATATTTAAGTTATTAAGAGAAGATTTATCACCCTAGATGAATTAAAAAAAATATTTCATATATTCTTCAATAGTATTGATTGTAAATTATTGCATAATGTGGAATGAGATTTGAAAGAGTTTCAAATCTTATTCCAAAAATTAATGACTATAGTGCTGAGAACAAACATAATTTGACATAGTAGACACCCTCCATATTATATATATCTAAATTGAAATATTATTAATGAAATAATAATAATTATACTAAAAAATTAGTCATTAAAAGGATAAGTCAAACCACCTATGACTTTTCTAATATTTGAGGGATCATGACAGGTTGCTAAACATTATACTTAATCTTAAGTTAATCAATTATTAAATTGATAATAAATTAATTAATTTAATTATATTTTATTTATGATTATGATTTATATTTGGACCAACTTATTAGGGAACCTAATACGTCACAAATATAAGAACCATTGATTAAAAATTAAAATGTGATGATTAATCAAGTATGATTTAATTGTAAATAATTTTATAAATTGAGTACTATAATATAATAAAAATAGGGGATTGCAATTCTAAACTATAATGTAATTTTTCCCTTAAATTATATCACATATATTATTTTAAATTAGCCTAAAATAATATATGTGATATAATTTAAGGGGAAATTTGATGTTTTTTCATTTAAATAATTTTTAGAGTTTTCTATAAATAGAAAGTTATATCTCTTATTTTCTAAGGGTGAGTAAAATATAGTACGTAAACACATAAAATACAAAAGTGAAGAGTTAGCACTCTAAGGTATAGAAATCCATCTCTTCTAAAATGATTTTAGAAATTTCTCATTAGTAGTTTGTGTGGATTATCGTTAGAGATTAAAAATTTGAAAAACTTGTGGTTTGCGACAATCCAACTTTGAAGCAATTATTTAAAGCCGAAAAGAACATTTGATTTTCAGGTAATCTTTGTATAAACCCTAAATAACCCTAGGTCTTTCTAACGGGATCCTTAGGACTCCTGAAAAATATTAAATTTACAATTTCTGCTACATATATGCCCAACATAGTTATGATAAAATGATGATAAATGAACGTTATATTAACAATAAGCTGATAATTGTGGTGATGGTCGATGGTGTTGAGCACCGATAGTGGAATGATAATGATGATGAGGTAGTTGTAATAATGATGGTATTAGAGGTTATGTTAAGGTGATAATAGGTCAACAAAAATATGATAGTGATTGTGGTGTGGTAATGATCGATGATAGTGGGTGACAGTGACGAGATAGAGGGATGATAATTTAATTAAGCTCGATCCAATTCGATCTGAATTAAATGACTGAGTTATATATATATATATATAGATACTTTACTTGATTAATATTTGATAAGGTACGGATATTATTAAATCTGCATGAAATCACATCTTAACCCACCCAATATATATAACATTTGTATTACATTTATATTTTTTGAATCCAATATAATATATGCACAACCTAATATTAATATAACACACATATATGTAAATTTTTTATTTTATATCAAATAATAAATAATAGTAAAATAGTGAATATCTGAATAGATGCTCAAAACTCAATAAATAAAATATAAATATCTAAATTTATTATAGGATAAATAATAAATATAAATTATATATGTTATTTATCCTATAATAAATTTAGTGGATATACCCATTTCCATCATATAATATAAACATAGCAAAAACCTGGTTGGCATATACCCATTTCCATCCTTTAGTATTAATGGATGTGTAGTTATGGTGTGGTGGCAATAAATATCAAAAGTTATAAGTTTGGTAGTATTAATTAAGGAAAATATTTTCCTTCGTTATTCAGGATTGGCTGAAATATATTATTAATTAGAAAAACAAATGGAATAATGTAGATTATTTTTTTTCATTTCTTTCTTCAGTAAACGGTATATCTGGTACTATTAATTAATAAATCCGCACATCAATTGGGTTGACGTATTAAGTAATTATTATAATTTTTTAGTTAATCTCTAACTCTATCTCTAGAGAAACCCTAATTTCTAGTGGTGACCACTCCGACTCCGAATATATTAAGATAAGCCTTGTAAGTTAACCAAGTCTACGTTTTTAAACTTCGAAGGACAACAGAAATCTTATGTCGGTTGTTAACTAGCTAGAGTTTCTCTCTTTAAATTTAGTTGTTCTCTTCTTCTCCATCAACACAGTTTTTCTTGATCATGAATACTGATATGACTGAGGTGCAGAAGAAACAAAGGGTAAGTTTCTTTGGATTTTCATGTAGTAGTAGTGCATGAAAATTTAGGGTAGTGCATGAAAATTTAGGGCAAACTACTATAACATCTCATGTTCCTTCAAGTGCTTCTTAATTAACCTATAATCTTGCTATCATTTGTACTGCTTGAAGTTAATTTGATTCTTTTTCTTCCTTTTAATGTTGTGCGCAGGCTAGTTTGTATAGGAAAAGAGGCCGTTCAAACAAAGATCTGACGAATACAATTATGAACAGAAGAAAGCTTACAAATAATAAGAGAATAGCCAACGAGAGAGACAATAGAATTGGTTTGGTCTTAAGCATCCACCATGCAGAGGGCATAGACAACCCTAGCAACTATCCTTCAGTATTCAACAGGAATTACTGTGTGTTGTTTTGGGTTCACCCTGATGATCAACTTGCAACAGAATTCGTCTCAGGATCACCAGATCTTGCATGGAACCGGAAGTATTGTATCGAATTAGACGATTCCAGGGATTGCAGGTTTTTGTATGTTGAGGTGCTTAGGTGTGGATCCTCGTCCGAGAGCAACCCAGGAACCTCTAATGGCATGAGATTGGTGGGTAGGGCTAAGATACCTCTACCAGATTTTTCAGGTAAAACAGAAGGCCGCTATGGACTTGTGAGGCTTGAAGAGGACGGGTATAAAGCTGAAGGACACATTACTTTGTCAATGAAACTGATCAAGATAGATCAAAGTTAGCTAGGGAAAATTACGTAATAGAGGTTTCTGTGATGAATTTCTTTTCAAGGATCTTTTTCATTATTACAAGACTAAATTTGATGAGTTCAATCAATTTTAGATCTAATTTCTAATATAGAATTATATATAGTTTTGCAGCATGGTATTTGTTAATTTATTTATCGTGACTTAATGCATGGATTTATTTTTTTTCTGTTGTCTAATCAAAGACAAATATTTATGTTTAAGATGAAAGATTTTATAGTAATCAAACTATTTTTTTTTGTCAACCCTCTTAATAACTAAGATATCCATTTGAAGAACATGGAAACTAATTGAAGTAACGAGCCCCTTAATCTTAGGAGAATCGCTATTTCAATTAAGATAATGAATTCACCTTTTTAGTTGTAGTTCTTCTCAAAAATATATAATGCCTCCATAGAGTTGGTACTAATTAAGAGGAATATATAATTAATGTCTCCATTATAGGTTCAATCATGGTTTACAATTTAAAAGAAAAAATCAAAAAAAAAAAAACTAGAGTCAAAGCAAAAAAAAAAAAAGACGGCATTCAAATCAAGATGTCCCTGGTATCCTTTGTCAAATTACAAAAAAATAAAAATAAAAAAACCCTTGATAAAGGAGCATACTTCCTCAATCAATTCTTAAATTCTTAAGTAATAGAAGAATATAGAAGTTCATAAATAAAATAATTGAGGTATTATGATTTTCGTGGGGAAGTGATCGTGTGTCTGGAGAAAATAAAAAATAAAAGGGCGTAAAAAATAACTGGTAATGGACAAAAGGAAATATTCATCATCTCTTTTTAAAAAACATGTTAATATATTATGAATGCCTTCTCTTTTAAATTGTGCTTTGGTAGCTGTCGGAATGGTTTGGTTTCTTATAAATATAAATATCTTATAAACTTTGATGTGAGGTTTTTCTAGTTGTTTTTTTTTTAAATAATTTTTTAAAAAAATATATAGTAAAATATTTTTTAAAAAAAATATTTTCAACAACAATATAAAAATAATAATTTTAAAATAATATTCTTAATCAGACAGCATGTTCTGCGTCCAGGCAACCACAATAATAAGTCCTCTCAGCATTGTTTCCCTCATGGTTGCAGCCATTTGTCTTCTTCATTGACCGTGCTGCTGGAATAATCTTAGCAGTCTCTCTTTCCAACAGAGATTGTGCGAACGATGTAATGGCACTGCTCTTTACCAAAATTAAGATTTAGAAATGTATTAAAATAATTTTTTATTTTTTAAAAATTATTTTTAATATTAATATATTAAAATAATTTATAAATATAAAAACAATGTATTTTAAATAAAAAAATAAAATTTTAAAAAACATTCCGAAAATACCTGTATGTTTCCACTAATTAACACGGGCTGTGTATTCCTAGGAATTTGGATAAATACTAATTATGTGAGTGTGGAACATGCAATTGTGATTGTTTGATTGGGAAGTAGTTTTGCTAAGTAATTTTATTTTGAAAAGTAATTTCTGATGAAAAGTGAATTATTTTGTAATTCAATCACAGGTATATCTAATTTAAGAAGAGTTGTCCACGCTAGGGATAATAATAGTTACTTGTGGGTTGATTTTGTAAAATATTTAGATATTCATAAATTATTTGTTGGGTTATATTGTTATTTATTAATTAATAAAAAATAAAATAATTAATATATATTTGAAGTATCTAAATGTATTAATAATCAGGTGAAGAAAAGGACATCCTCGTTGTCTTCAAGAACAAGTTCATCTCGTGCCAAACGGCGGCGCCATCGCCGAAGAAGTTTCTCTGTGGAACATCATATCAAGAGGGAATGGTCTGTCCGAAGGATTTCTTTTGATTTTTTTCACTTGTTGTTTGGAAATGTACCATGCTGAAAACATCAGTTATTTCCAGTTCCACGCTTGTGACCTCGCAGATTATTCTTTTAGCCTTTAATGCAGACAATTCTCCAAATAGAATTAAGCGTATAATAATGGGTTCCTTATACACAGGCAAGATTCCTTAGAGGTGTGCATAGCAGTGATTTGGTGTGGTATTTGTATGGAGAACTCTTGAGAAAAGATCGCTCCATGGTCAAGCCAAGCATTTACATTTCTCTAGGCTACAGTGTTCAGCCACAGGCCATTTTTTATTTTTTGAACATGGCTCAACACACAGGGATTAGACAACTAGCACTTTATTTTACCGAACCCACCAGCACATGCAACAAAGAATACATGGGTGTCGAAGCTCTAGTCGCAAACGCAATAGCATGAAAATCAGCAAGATTGCTGCGCTCGAAATAAATTTACCAGATATAAGGGCTAACAGCTCTTGCAGTTAGGGGGGATGAAAAATAGGGGAGACGATCAACGTTATAATAATGTGATTCAAGGGAAATGAATGGTTACAGATAACGATTATTATGTAATTCATGGGAAATGAATGGCGATCAATACAGCTACAACTACGAAAGATTTGTACATGGGCTTTTTATCATGATTCTTCATCAAACCAGGTTCTGGAACCTCAGTGCTTTCCCGAGGTTCAAACTAATGGTAACATCTGCTTGGACGCATTAGATTAATATTAAACAACACAACAAATCTCCATTCACAAGTTGAGACAGATCAACTATCTTGCTTGATTTTTACCATCTTCTGATTATTAAACAACACATTTCACTATCTATCTTGACTGTAACCATCTTCTTCAGAAATATTGAATAAGAACTTTGGAAGAGATGCTATTCGAGGGAGATGAAGTAGCAGGTCCCCGAACGAGTCTTTCCTTGACATTCCTGGTGCCGGCTTGCTGCCAGAAATATCCTTGCTACTGCTACCTTCAGAGCCTATGATATCACCTCTAACTTTATTCTCATGAAATGATTCATTGGTGTGGTTTAGCAGAACACCCTTCCCATTTTTAGACTCTTCAAAGAAACTTTCCCCGTTACCCTGCAAGTTCTGGGTTGAAGCAGGGTCCTTCTGCAGAAGGCAACAGAGAGAGTTGACCCTTGCCATGATCCCTTTCTCATCAGAGGATGTTGTTTGTTGGGTGTCGCTAAGAAGGTACTGTGCGATGTCCTCTAGTATGTCTTGGCATTCTGACCCATCAGCAGAAAAGGGTTGATTTCCAGAGGTCATCTGTTCTGAAATACAGTTCCCAATGTGGTTCATAAGATCAGTCATCGACATAGATGGGGTCAACCCTGGAACTTTAATCTGATCCCAGTTCCTTGTTGCTTTAGAATCAACAGCTTCACAAATCCCCCTCCCTTCAATTGCACGACTGTCCATCACTGGTACAAAGATGACCAATCAGTGATAGTTTAGATTAGGAGATAGATATGAACCCGTAATACTCGTAAGCTTTGGAAACAGATCCGAAAACATTCACAAGGTTTTGAACATCATTTTATAGGAAAAAGAATAATGCTAGGATCCTAGCTGCTACAGAAAAAAACAAAAATTGATAGAAACAACAATACACATAGGGATCGGTGGTGACGTGACCGCAGACAAAACATCATGCACCAAGGTTTTTTACTCATAAGTGGAGATAGTACGTGATGTGACAGGAGACAAAACATCGTGCACCAAGGTTTTTGACTCTTAAGAAAAACCCCAAACATATGAACTACAAGACATCAAGCAAGAAGAGATTATGGAAAAAGTTCCAGGCCTCTGAATCTTATGTGAAGGTCATTGCAGAATGCACTTTTGCAACTCTAGCACTTGGATTTGGACAGAATTTTTAAAAGCACTACGTTTAAAAAACTACCATAAATGACATCTTTCTTAAAACATATTGAAAGCGAAGTCAAGACTTCATCATACCTGAGCTGGGAGAAGGAGCTTCCCGGGACATAGGATCTGATGTGGAAGCAGTGGTATCCCCCTTCTCAATCTCTAAGGAAGATGATTGAGCTGCAGATGGTGATGCTAGATCCTGGAAGCCAGAAACAACAGATACCTTAGCCGACTCCACTTGATTAAAATCTTGATTTTTTGAATCATCCAGATCCTCAAAAACAGATGGTCTCTGTTCAAAATATGGTGAATCCAAAATTATCTCTGGCTGTCGACTTAAGAAGTTCAAACGCATGTCACACTGGATCAACTTTTCAAAATGTTTATTTAACAGCCCTTCTGGACATTGCAGAAAATGTTGCCTACAAAACCACATCAACAAAAATTTGAGTATCAATGCCTCGAGGCTAAGAAAATCTCAAAATAAGTGCACCCTCCATAATTATATTATTTAAGAGTGATGTATTCAGAAGATTTGTGCTTAATGCATGAATGTTAGCCTCAGTTTTCTGTTTGAATAACTACAAAAATGAAATATGAGGTGAAGAAAGAGAATAGATTAGAAACATTATTTTCTTCCACATGAATTTACACAGTTTGACTTTCTAAATGTGCAATGCAGAAGATTGGGCATTTTCAAAATACCTAAAACAAAAACGGGATAAAAATGGAACAAAGAAAATCCATCACATGCAGGACACACCTACCAGTCAGAGTGAAAAACAGAGTAATATGGTGCAACTATCTTACTTGTGTATGCTAGCCTGTCCGTCAGTAAAATCTGCCGTTGCCTGCCACAAGGTATGTTTTCGGGGCTGTGGATTAGTTTCCCTGAAGAAGAGGGGCTGTCTGGCAAGCTGCATCATACAAAAAAATAAAAATAAATCCAGATTAGTATAGCCCTGGCCATAAAAACACCCATCGTTAAAAAAACAAACAAAAAAGTCAATACATTACCACAACGTTCAATGTCGCAGGTTCATTATCAGGACAGTTTGCCTTGAGAGCCATAATATCAGACCACTGGATTTCAATCTTACTCTTAAGACCACCTTCAAGAACTTCCCAAACCAGCTTATGCTTGGCAAAGTAACACTTGGCCACCAAATCACCTTCATATCTCGATTTATACTGCCAAATTCAAATAACAAAAATCCTCAGCAATCTCTATACAATTAATTCACCACCAAAACAACAACACATACCAACAACAGAAAACCATTCATTACCTCCCAACTCCCAATCCTCAAAATGGAGGCAGGGAAATTTGAAGCCTTAAGCTTGTCCATGGAACCAGAAGCAGGTGCGCTCTTACTCTCCTTCTTAACACCTAGATTCTGCTTCTCCGCCTCTTGAGTTCCAAGCGCGGAAGCATTATTCCCTTGAGTAAGCCTCATTTGAATCAAATCCAACAATGATGGGCTCTTCCTCAACTGCAATCCAAGCGGACTAGGCTCGTCTAACGGATTATATTCCGCAGCAGAAACCGGTACTGCATTAGCACCCGCACCCCACTGATCATCAAATTAGCAACTAAACGCAATTAATAGCAATACAATCTCTATAACCATGCAAAATTAACCCGAATTAAAACCCAAACAACAAAAAACCCTATAATTTCCTGAAGTCTTTATAAGTTGACCCCAAAAATTAAATAAAATTCCATTTCCCCTTGTTTTCTTGATTTTCTCAGAAATCAAAAACGAAAAAAAAAACGTTCAAAAAAAATATAAAAATTACCTGCTGAATGGTTTGTGAAGCTTTGGATCGCTTGTGAAGAGTTCCATAGTTTTCCTCTAATGGATCCTCTACGATCTCTAGCTTCACTGCTGCTCTTTTGCCCCGCGACGACGACGACGAAGAACTCGACGTCGTTTCACGTTGTCCCTTCAAGTCCCCTGAATTCATCAACCACAAATCTTCCCTGGAGATTTCAAAGAGAAAAAAATGATTTATTTTCTTCTCGGTTTTTTTTTTTTTTTTTTGTTGAAGATCACACGCAGGAAATATCGAAGAGATGATTTATAAGTGAAAACCCTAGGCCTAGAGAGAGACTTTTAACGGTGCTTTTTTTACGGCTAGCACATGTGAGAAGCCGTGTGTCAGCTGCTTGTCTAGTGAAATTACGGGAGTAGGCTTGGGTTAGGAGTGCGAGAGGAGTTTGAAAGTGGAGGGTGGTTTGGGATTTTAACGTGGATTTAATATGAGCGTTACAGCCGACACGTATGAGTAAACGGATAAATTGTGGGGCCTGGTGATTCCTTAAAATGACGGCGGTTGTTGGTTTGGTCGGAAACGTGTCAATTGATCTGGAGGTTGCTTGTGAAGAATGTGTTCCTGGAGTTTACACGTAGACTGGTGTGATGATGACAGGGGAGAAGTTAGGGTATGGAAGGCTGTGCAAGGTAGCTAGCTACATCTGCTCTTTCTAATTATTGTTAAGAGTGTTTAAATTAGTTGATTAAGGCTTGGAGTGTCAAAATTAGTAACCCCTGGATAATGGGATTAAGTGTCGGAATCTATAGGAAGAGTTTGACAGCAAAGACTGAGTTTCAATGCTATAATTTTAGTAATAATATAAATATATATGTATTTAGTATGTTTGCAAAGAATCTTCTTTATTTGTTCACCTAAAATTTAACCTACATCACGTATAAAAATAAAATTACTTCTTATAGTTAGTTTAAATAGTTCGATGCTTATTTATTACTAGAAAAGCTTAATCTTTTAATGAATATCAAGATTTAAAAAAAAACGATGCTTATTTATTACTAGAAAAGCTTAGTCTTTTAATGAATATCAAGATTTTAAAAAAATAAAATAAAGTTTAGGGGTGATCATGATTTTGTAGACAACTTCGAGTCTCAAAAATTGGTGATTAAAAAATTTTACAAGGGCTTATATGTTTTGAAAAAATTTATTAATTCTTTTTAACATATTAAACTTAGAAAAAGCAAATAAATCTTGATTGATGTATAAACTAGTGGAAATTATGATGATTGAGGGCGATTAGGTTCGCAAAACTAATGATATTTAATTTGTAGTGCGGCACAACAATTATATGTTTAAAATAATGCAATAATCTCAAGTCAAGATCCCTAGAACACAGAAAGCAGCAGGAGGGCTAGTTGGAGACGCTTTTCTGATACCCATGGAGAATTTATTTTTCCTTAATTCTGTAAGTGGATAAGGTCCAGGTGTTCTGTCTGGAGAACGGAAAAAGTGGAGAACAACAGGCAAGTGACTGATAATCGCGTGCATGCATGGGAATGGAAATGGGATGGTCGTGTCCATCCGTGAACACAAGTGCGTGCGAGCATGCGAGCGAGCGAGCGAGCGAGCATCACCAAGTCATTTGCCTGCCGAAAACGACTTAAAAGGTCATGAAACGGAATCCAAACCTCCTCAGTTGCCTATAAAGTACTCTCTCTCTCTCTCTCTCTCTCTCTCATTTGTTCTGCCATTTGTAAGATTCAATCATATCTCTCTTCCTTGCCTGGGCTCCACCACAACTCTATGGGTTTTTGAGGTGTTGAAATGTCCAATTTCGATTTTTCTTTCTCAATATACATACATACATACATATACATATATATATATAAAAAAAAAAATAATAATCTAAAGGGAAGGGGAAAATTAGTGTACATGTAAACTCGAATTACTATTCATCATATTTTTTTCAAGCATGAATTACTTATTTATCATTAAAAGTAAAATTTTTGGAATTAACATCAAGATGTTTTTTTTTGTTGTTTTTTTCACTTTATTAATCTTAAAATAATAAAAATTAAACCTTGCATACAAGGGCTTTTTAATCTTTTTATTGTTGTTTTTATTTATTTGTGAAGTTTATTATAGGAAATTTAGTCTTTTAATAAATATAAATTAATATTTTAATAAAAGAAGTTGTTGATATATGCAGCGCCTCCCATCAAACAAAAACTCCTTTCTATTATGTCATTAAAATCTTGGCAGCACCCTCCTTCCATAACAATAAAGGTGACACGGCTTGTTATGAAGATATTTTTTTTTTAATTGAAAATAGCATTGTCCATTTAAATTTTTAAAGTTATCATTTAAATTTTTAAATTCTTAGTATTTCAATTTTAATCTTTATTTTTTTGAAATTTTAATTTTTATTCTTAATTTTTTTATTTTTTTCAATTTTATCATTCAGTTCTAATTTGCTATATATTGTTGTTTTCAATTTTGTCCTTATTTTTTTTATTTTTGATTTTTTTTCTTGATCCTTTTATGTAAATTTTATGTCTTCAGTTCTATTTTTTTTTATCTAAATTTATAATATTTTTTTTTTACCTTTTATGTAAATTTTATGTCTTCAGTTTTATTTTATTTTTTATCTAAATTTATAATATATTTTTTTTTCAATTTAGTTCTTATTCTTATTCTTTTTATTTTTTTGTCTTTTTATAAAAAAAATTATTTATTTTCTATTTCATCTTTCAATCTCAATTTATAATATGTTATTTTTTTAATTTGATCCTTATTCTTTTTATTTTTTATCCTTTTATTAAATTGATTTTTCTTCTCAATTTCACCTTCTAATAAAAAAATTATAAATGTCCTCCAAATTATTTTTTATTTTAATTTTGATCTTCAATCTTTTAATTATTATTTTTTATTTTAGATTATTTTGTATAATTTTTTTTTATTTTATCCTTCAATATTTAATTGGTTAGGGATTGGATTTTATGGTTTTGTCTAGATATGGTACTTCCGATCTAATAATCTAGATTATAGGTGTGAAAAGTTGTCATGAGATGACATCTTTTTTTAAAAAAAAAAACAGAGCTTTTTTTTAGTGATTTTATCATTAATATTGTTTGTTTTTCCCTTAAAAAAAGAGGTTTTGTAATTTATTTATTTTTTGAATTATCTCAATCTTATCACTTGGACCGTGAGTTTGGTGCGTTAACTCAGATTGACTCGCCCTTTATTACCCAAGTTATTGGTTTATTGTGCTAATTCGGTTTGACTTGAGCTTGTTCTTTTTGCTTAATTTTTTCCATTCATATATAATTGGCCAAGAATTGTTTAATTCACGATGAATTTTTATTTATTTTTATTAGATTAATTTGTCCAAATTTAATTTTTAAAAAAGTAATCATGATTTTATAATCCGAATTGTTTTTCCTATAATTGTTAAAAATATAAATTAAAAAGGTAAAAAATATAAACTTATTGGATTCCACAACGTAAATGGTAGACTCAACAAATTAGACTATGAAACTTGAGTTGATAAAATATATTATTTTATTATCTTAATTATTTTATAAAAAAATGTGATATTGAAATATTTTTTAAGCATTTAATTTATTTTGAATTGGTCTTTATATATTTTGTTTTGATTTTTATTGAATTATTTGGTTTTAATTTATTTTTTATATAATTTTTTTAAATCCAAACCATATTATTATTGGTTTTCTAATTTGTTAGGTTCAATAACACTATATAAAAACGCTCTCCCAAACTTAATATTTTATTTATAATTTTAAAAAATAATTTACCCGCAGCAAAAAACGACTCAACAAGTAGTGATTCTTGAGAAGAGAATAATAGTTTGGCTGTTATCACTGATCATGATTAAAAAAGTCTATAGCCAAAAAAAATAGATTAACAAAAGTCTTACCGCATCAAATTTTATGTGAAAGGATACATTTGTCGCGAAACTATTTGGGTCCCTAAAAGAAATGTTTTTCAATCGGGTTTTTATCCTTTTATTAAATTGATTTTTCTTCTCAATTTCACCTTCTAATAAAAAAATTATAAATGTCCTCCAAATTATTTTTTATTTTAATTTTGATCTTCAATCTTTTAATTATTATTTTTTATTTTAGATTATTTTGTATAATTTTTTTTTATTTTATCCTTCAATATTTAATTGGTTAGGGATTGGATTTTATGGTTTTGTCTAGATATGGTACTTCCGATCTAATAATCTAGATTATAGGTGTGAAAAGTTGTCATGAGATGACATCTTTTTTTAAAAAAAAAAACAGAGCTTTTTTTTAGTGATTTTATCATTAATATTGTTTGTTTTTCCCTTAAAAAAAGAGGTTTTGTAATTTATTTATTTTTTGAATTATCTCAATCTTATCACTTGGACCGTGAGTTTGGTGCGTTAACTCAGATTGACTCGCCCTTTATTACCCAAGTTATTGGTTTATTATGCTAATTCGGTTTGACTTGAGCTTGTTCTTTTTGCTTAATTTTTTCCATTCATATATAATTGGCCAAGAATTGCTTAATTCACGATGAATTTTTATTTATTTTTATTAGATTAATTTGTCCAAATTTAATTTTTAAAAAAGTAATCATGATTTTATAATCCGAATTGTTTTTCCTATAATTGTTAAAAATATAAATTAAAAAGGTAAAAAATATAAACTTATTGGATTCCACAACGTAAATGGTAGACTCAACAAATTAGACTATGAAACTTGAGTTGATAAAATATATTATTTTATTATCTTAATTATTTTATAAAAAAATGTGATATTGAAATATTTTTTAAGCATTTAATTTATTTTGAATTGGTCTTTATATATTTTGTTTTGATTTTTATTGAATTATTTGGTTTTGATTTATTTTTTATATAATTTTTTTTATTCCTTTAAATCCAAACCATATTATTATTGGTTTTCTAATTTGTTAGGTTCAATAACACTATATAAAAACGCTCTCCCAAACTTAATATTTTATTTATAATTTTAAAAAATAATTTACCCGCAGCAAAAAACGACTCAACAAGTAGTGATTCTTGAGAAGAGAATAATAGTTTGGCTGTTATCACTGATCATGATTAAAAAAGTCTATAGCCAAAAAAAATAGATTAACAAAAGTCTTACCGCATCAAATTTTATGTGAAAGGATACATTTGTCGCGAAACTATTTGGGTCCCTAAAAGAAATGTTTTTCAATCGGGTCCCTTATCTATTGAACATTACGCAATTATTCCTCACCTTACAGTTTTTTTCATTGAAATCATAGAAGATGTGGACTTGTGTTGCATTGAAGAGATGCGGTTAAAGCCATTATTCGAACGACAAGGGCTATTCTGGATAGTGCGAGATAGGTGGGAAATTGGGAATCCAATTGGATTTTTTTTCTCGGGGACAGAATTGAGAATGAAGTGAAAGCAAGGGGACCAAAAATGCCATTTGTCCTATAATATCTTTACAGTAGAACAAGCTTCATCGGTCACAACCTTTTTCCCAGGAGATGAATTTGGTGTTGCAATATAAGTGGCCGAGAAGAATTCAACAGCTAGTTTTTCTAAAAAATAAAAATAAAAAAATCAACAACTTGATGCTTTGTACGAAAATTCCATCCACAATAATAAAAGGCTGAATCAGGCAGCCCACGATGCAGCTGCAATTCAATTGATCAAGTCATAATTGATGGTTTTTGATTGAGATCGAGGCCTAGAAAAGTAAAAGTTCGAGCATCGAATCCTCCACCCTCATATAAGAAAGGGAGTCTTTTTATTTTTTTATTGTATTTGAAAGTGAGAAAATAATTATAATTAAAATTTTTTATTTAAAAATAAATAAAAAATTATTTTTAATATTAATATGTTAAAACAATATAAAAATATAAAATTTTTTATTTTCTTAAAAAACACGATTTTAACTGTATTCTTAAACACTACTAAGAATAAAAACCCTATTAATTTTATTAGTTTGTTTCCATTACATGCATTTATTTATTTGCTGATTTAGGCACTGATTAATTCAGCAATGCTTGGTAAACTCTAAAAAAGATTTAAAAAAAAAAACCCTGAAAACAACCCTTGTGAATTTAATTAAGAAAGATAGAGAAGTCAAAGCAATGTTTCAATCCAAAATATTATAAATTTATATTAATTATCATTTTTTTTCCTTTGCATTTTATATAAACACGATCACTTTTAAGTTTCAAGGCTGGAGATTAGATCATTTCATTTAGGTGTGTCATTTCCGTGATTTCAAGGCTAATTAGATGCGTGCATTCAACTTCTCTGTTGACATTTTTGTTGGTGTCATAGGCTCATAGCCAGGGATCAGGCCACCAATGCATGGCGAGAAAAATGAAGCCCAAACGTTGGCTCCCATGGTTCTATACTTCTATTGACGATCAATCTACCTGGCAAAAAGCTCAAGATCCTCATGCTGCACCTGTGAACCGCTCCAATGTCTGGAGCCACTTTATCCTAAGCAAGAACAGTGTAATCTTCTGCATTGATACAGAATTATGTTCAAAGAGATAGGCATGTAAACCTAGTTTCAATTACAATGGCTTGCGAGTAATAGACTTTGCTTGGTCTCTAATATAGAAATTTCAAGGTAGGGAAAAATCTACTACCCTTGACTGAATTAACTGGGTTGGGTGAACATGGGAATCAAGAGTAGTTGTCTGCTGCATAAATGTAAGAAGGAAACCAAAACCAAACCGCTGGGGCATTTCCCATAGAACATGGAGATCATCACTTATGTTGCCTTTCTATTTACTTTAAGATACGGCAAGGCGCCAATCACATTGTCATAGTCACTCCTACTAACAGGGTGCTGCACATAAATACACCAATGTGAGTTAAAGGATTTTATATTGAAGCCCAAACAGCAATCCAGAAACAACTACATAAATAAACCTCGACTCTTTGAACTATGATAATATGTTATATATGCCAAAGCATCATAGACTCTCTGAAATTTAATCAATGTTCATGCTAGCAACTAAAAGTAAGTCCTTTCTGTTTCCTAGAAACACCCAGCTGACTAAAATCCTGGCATGTCTTAGGTAAGCTTACTGTAAAATTCTGATAATGGCTATATTTTAGGCATTTTATTTAACTGTTTTAGTAAATATAATGATGTCTCCATGAAAAACCAACTCACACATTCAAGAACTGCAGTAAGCAATTACACATAAAGCAGACATGCCCGCACTCAGAAACACACAAATCCCTCACTTATTGCTAGCAGTACTATACTATTATTGTTGAAAAGCTTTAGAAAAAGAAGGAAAGCAAAAGGGTCATGGCTTTTTGAGTCTTGACAAATTAAGAATCCAAGTATGAAAGTTCTCCCTTGATGGTAAGTATAATGCCCCAGCTCCTCAAATACTATTTTGAAGGTTTCTTTTTAAGAGAATTAGAAGAGTAGAAACCACATGATTCAACAGTAATAAAATAGCATTAGTAAGGGAAATGCTACACTATGTCTTAGGTAATCTATTGTAAACATATTTAGTAAAAATAGCATTAGTAAGGGAAATGCTACAACACTAGAGGGAAGGCATAAATGGGTCACTCAGGAGTATTAAGCTGCAAATTAGGATTTATATGCCCTTTGATTGAATTAATGCCTAAATATAGGACCTTGCTCTCTAATTTCCAGGAGCATGCAAAGAAGAATGTTAACAAGGAATGAACTTCCTGAATCCCACAGAAGGACAGCTAAAAACCATAGAGAATTGGCATGCAGCTCAGCGAAACCCCTTTTATATCTGCTCTCCATTCTCACATAGCCTCCTTGACTGATCCTTTTTAACTCACTACCCATTTCAATTCTCTAGAATCTAACTACATGGAACTCCTTTAAAAACCATAAAAATTCATCTCTTGTAAAAACCAGATACATAAGGAGAATATCTTCAAGACCAAATACTTAAGATATACCAACTCTCAAAGTGGTCACCCATCTATCATTCACTGAAGTTATTGATGCTTTCTGTGCAAAAAGAAAAGGTGGGGAACACCAATGAAATTCCACGCTGGAGGTAACAAGAGACTGGAAGTGAAAACTAGATTATGGTTAAATAGTTACACTATTCTTCACAATACCCTATCTGGCAGCTAGACCAAGATGGCAATTTCTATGTGGAGCCTGAATCCTCCTTACTTGAAACTCAAACCTTCAAGCTGGGCCACAAATAATGCCTTCTAAAACCACCATCTTGTCATAAGCTTTATACCCTCATAAGAACTTGAAAGGGGCTAAGGGAGAGTAGATTCAGAACATCAAAAGAATCAGGATAATATATTTCTCCAATTTCTTTAAGACCTGGACTTTCAGGAAAGAAGAGCCTAGTCCTAAGGTACATAATAAGACACCAAAACTTATTATCTAACAACATGCAAATAAAGAACGAAGGACGTCCTCAAGATACCTTCAGATGTAGCATTCTAAATCATGGTTTCTTCCCCAGTACACTTCTGTAACCTAAAGAACTTAATAAATCCATATTCATTTTCTCCAGATTTGTTTTGTCTATGTAATGAGCCTTTAGCTCACATTTTCAGTCTCCCACCAATCATGTTTAAGTTAACAAAAAAACCTGCAGTAGTTTACTCTCCAAAATTTTTTGGAAAGAAGAATCCCTGATAGCATTCTGAAATGAGATAATTCAAAGTTTTTTTGAAAGCTTGTTCTTTCTTCTTACAAGCCCCCTGCCTTCCCTACAAGTTTCCTTCTTGACACACAAGTGATCCAATGTTATAACAAATTTGACACCATACCAACTTCTGATATAAATATATGCATTTAATCTTCATCTTCATAATGATGACTTTGACATGAAAGACCGTTTTTTTTATTAATGTATCCAGATAACCAGTCAAAACTCTCTCATTTAACTGTATTTTGTAACAATAAGTCATTTTTGATAGCTGAATGACTTTCTAACATAAAATTGAGCAGCATGTCCATAATTCCCATCACTTAACTAAAACAAGAAAATTATGGATAAAATGTAAACACAGTAATAAAAAACCCAAATGGACATTTAGAAAGAAAACTAATTGCAGGTGGAACACGATCCTATACGAAGCCAATGACAAAAACCTATAGGCTAAAACAATTTGAAAGAAAGAGAAAGAAAACATGAATTATCTCTGTCACGCGCGCGCACACACAAAAAAGAAAAAGAAAAAAATAAACAATAATGCATTGCAAGAACGAAAGCTAAATTGAACTAGATTAATTATACTTTATCTATTTACACTAGCTAGCGAGGTAAAGCATGAAATAGAATGTTGAAAGAGACAAACCATTTTGGAGAGTCTTAATTTCCTCTTAGTATTCTTCTTTGCTAGTAAATGCTGCTTCCCAGCTCTCCTCCTTACTATTTTCCCTTTACCAGTCACTCTGAATCTCTTTGCCGATGCCTATGAACAACAAAAACCACACAAAGTTCAAGACTTTCAAATAAGAAAATCAATTTAATTAATCATTGCTAGACTTGAAGCATTCCAATTCTTTTCTTTTGGGCCACAAAGTTCGAAAATTTGACTTAAAAAGCAACAGACTTTGAACAACAAAGAATTAAAACAACAATTCCAATCCACAGACAGATGAGGCGCGACTGACCTTGTGGGTTTTCATTTTATAGCCTTTAGCAGCGAAAACGGTGAGAGACTGGAACCTTTGAGTGAGTGAGGTGATAGAACATGGCTTTAGAGGAGAAAGTGAGCGAGACCCAGAAATGTTACGACACGAACTGAGTCTCAACGAGCTGTTAACCTTGTTGAGGGGAGCGAGTGGAGCGGACCCATAAGAGACACGGGTTGGGAAAGGGTGTAAAGGGCATGACTTCAAATTGAAAGACAGCACCGTTAAAGAAGCCATTGTTGTTGTGGTTGTTTCTTTGTTTCTGCTAACGTTTTGGAGGAAGAATAAGGAGGAAAGGGTGACGTGATATTGTGTGGATAACAGAAGGACTGAATCGGAGTCCTCAATCTTTTGTTCTATTTACTGCCGAGGACAGTGCCTCAACATGGACTTTGATAGACTTGCATTTGCATACCCATTTTTCTTCACGATTTTTATTTTTATTTTCATTAAAAAGGGCAGAAATAATATAGAAGGATTGATGGTGATTATGAGTTACTTAGAGGGGAATTTATTTTAATAAATTAAAAGGTAAATTTTGTATTTGATTTGCAAATACTATTCAAAATGGTGAGAGCACACAAATATAACAATAAATAAAATAAATAATCAAAATCATTAACATATTATAATTTTTATGTTTGAAATAAAATAATTGAGTTTAATTATACTATTTAAAATTAATGTGAAAATTAATTGGATTAAAAATATTGACTATTTCACCCTTAAATCATTTTTTATTATTACAAAAAAACCTCTTTTTTTTTGTTGTAAGGACTTTATATTTATTATTTTTTTAATTATTATTCTTGTTGATGATGTTCCAAAATATAAAATATATAAATAAAAGATTATTTAATATTTAAAATAATAGTTAATCAATATATTTAAGTGCCTAGATTTTTTTCGTCATAGTTGGAGAACATAAAATCTCTTCAATAAGAAAGAAAACATGAATTATCTCTGTCACGCGCGCGCACACACAAAAAAGAAAAAGAAAAAAATAAACAATAATGCATTGCAAGAACGAAAGCTAAATTGAACTAGATTAATTGTACTTTATCTATTTACACTAGCTAGCGAGGTAAAGCATGAAATAGAATGTTGAAAGAGACAAACCATTTTGGAGAGTCTTAATTTCCTCTTAGTATTCTTCTTTGCTAGTAAATGCTGCTTCCCAGCTCTCCTCCTTACTATTTTCCCTTTACCAGTCACTCTGAATCTCTTTGCCGATGCCTATGAACAACAAAAACCACACAAAGTTCAAGACTTTCAAATAAGAAAATCAATTTAATTAATCATTGCTAGACTTGAAGCATTCCAATTCTTTTCTTTTGGGCCACAAAGTTCGAAAATTTGACTTAAAAAGCAACAGACTTTGAACAACAAAGAATTAAAACAACAATTCCAATCCACAGACAGATGAGGCGCGACTGACCTTGTGGGTTTTCATTTTATAGCCTTTAGCAGCGAAAACGGTGAGAGACTGGAACCTTTGAGTGAGTGAGGTGATAGAACATGGCTTTAGAGGAGAAAGTGAGCGAGACCCAGAAATTTGACGACACGAACTGAGTCTCAACGAGCTGTTAACCTTGTTGAGGGGAGCGAGTGGAGCGGACCCATAAGAGACACGGGTTGGGAAAGGGTGTAAAGGGCATGACTTCAAATTGAAAGACAGCACCGTTAAAGAAGCCATTGTTGTTGTGGTTGTTTCTTTGTTTCTGCTAACGTTTTGGAGGAAGAATAAGGAGGAAAGGGTGACGTGATATTGTGTGGATAACAGAAGGACTGAATCGGAGTCCTCAATCTTTTGTTCTATTTACTGCTGAGGACAGTGCCTCAACATGGACTTTGATAGACTTGCATTTGCATACCCATTTTTCTTCACGATTTTTATTTTTATTTTCATTAAAAAGGGCAGAAATAATATAGAAGGATTGATGGTGATTATGAGTTACTTAGAGGGGAATTTATTTTAATAAATTAAAAGGTAAATTTTGTATTTGATTGGAAAATACTATTCAAAATGGTGAGAGCACATAAATATAACAATAAATAAAATAAATAATCAAAATCATTAACATATTATAATTTTTATGTTTGAAATAAAATAATTGAGTTTAATTATACTATTTAAAATTAATATGAAAATTAATTGGATTAAAAATATTGACCATTTCACCCTTAAATCATTTTTTATTGTTACAAAAAACCTTTTTTTTTTGTTGTAAGGACTTTATATTTATTATTTTTTTAATTATTATTCTTGTTGATGATGTTCCAAAATCTAAAATATATAAATAAAAAATTATTTAATATTTAAAATAATGGTTAATCAATATATTTAAGTGATTAGATTTTGTTCTTCTTAATCTAAGGAGCTTTAGACTTATGATATAAGTTTGAATACTTACAAAAACAGTCATAGTTGGGGAACATAAAAACTCTTCAATGATAAAATTAGTATATTTTCAGGAAAGATATTGAATGATTTATAATAATAAATAATCTAAAAGAGTCTTAAATTCAAGAAATAAAAATATTTGTTCTTGAATTTTAAGTTGGTTAACATTCTAAAATTTATATATATTTATATTAAGAGATGAAAAGTTCTAACTTTTTACCTAAATAGTTTAAGATGTATTTATATCCTCTAAACCTTGTTGTTTTTAGAGAAAAAAAAGACTATAAAGTTCTTTGTATTCAGCGACATTAATGGAAGACAAATATCTTTATATGCTTTTGATTATATCGATTTAGACTTGATTATTTTTTTGTGATTATTTTTAATTAGAAGCAACATCATCCATAGTTAGGCTAAAAAAGAATATATTATTACTCTAAAGTATTCTATTTAAGATAAATTGCATTATTAGTTATTGTTTTTTATTACAAAAAGTTTGTTATACCTATTGTCTATTTACTAGGTAACAACGAGTTAACTCTAACAGGTTAAACTCTATGTTGAAAGTTGAACCTAGTAATTTTATAATTTAATATTTTTATTATTTTTAGTTATCATCTTTGAATAATATTAAAGAATAGACAATTCCTTGATCACTCTTGATCATAACATATGATTATTTATTGATTAAGATATGCCAGTAAATGACCAAAGTCACTCCTAACCATAACTTGAGCCTTTTTATTAATCAATTCATATTAGTAAATTGAACAATTTGATCACTCTTGTTTATTACTTATGGCTTATTATCCATTAAATCATGTTAATGAGTTGAACCATCATATTTATAATGAGTTTATTAAAAATTAAAAATAAAAATAAAAGCATGTTTTCTTAACTATTCAAGACAAGCATTAGACCCTTATGAATGATGAAAATTAGCTTTGGGAAGACAAGCATTAGACCCTTATGAATGATAAAAACCTTATGAATGATGAAAATTAGCTTTGACTTAACATAAATGATAAAAATAAATTTTGGATCCATGTGAATGTCAAAAATGAATTTCTACCATTTTATTCAAAACTCTTGTTATTTTTAACATTATTTATTTAAAAGAAATGATTTTTTATTTTTTAATATGTAGCTCCAAAGATCATTTTGTTTGGGTTAAGTTTTTAAAGATCTAATAAAATTGTTATTTAGCACAAAAATATATGCAATGAAAATACATATTTTTTATGGAAATGCCAAAAACACAAATGATATCTTCTTTTTTTTACTAAACATAGTATTTAACAAAAAATTAAATTATTCAAAACATATATTTTTTATGATATTTTTTCAAGAAAAGCTTGCTCATGATGCAAATTTTATAAGAAAACAACTTTTTATGGTACTTTTTATTTGTTATTTGTTCTAACACATGCTAAATTCCAACTCTCATGCACATTACCTTCCACGAATTACTCACAAACTCTACAATCACATTGTCACATGTAATCATAACACATTAAGTCATCCAAGATTTGTAGGAGGCCTTTCAAAAGAGGTTGGACAAGATTTGGATGGTAAGGGAAACTGCTGGAATACGTTGGATGTGAGGGAACAGTAGCTGCTGCTTTTGAAGGTTGGAATCTGGTAGATTTGAAACTTTTATGTCTCCTTTTCGATTCTCCATTGATGGTGCAGTAAACGGACACCTGTAAAGGAAGCTTTGCTTTGTTAAAGTTTTAATCTTTTTACTGTTTTTCAATTCAAGTCTTCTCTTTCTTTCACTGCTGGGTGTTATTGCCGGTGGTGATGGGGTAAACCTCCTACTAGGTCTGAAACTATTACATTCCCTCTTTGATTCTCCACTGGTAGAGCAGTAAACAGACTCATATAGAGGGAGTTCTGCTACATTGAAGTTTGATGTTTGCATTTATTTTTTTTCTTGATAGCTGGTTGCTACCGCCACTGCTTATAGGGGCTATTTTGTTATGATTTAAGGGCTGTATTGTGGTGACTTGGCACTGGATTTTTCTGGTATGGAAAGTGGTTGTTTAGATGGTGTTTTAGTAGCCGAAGCTTTTCTTGTCTGGGGGGGCTGTTTTAGGTGTTGTGGTTGGAGTTTTCATGGTTGTTTGGAGGTGGTTTTGTGGGCTGTTTCAGTGCTGATTTCGGGATTGTTACAGGTCTGTCGTGTGGTGGCTGTCACGGGTGGAAGATGGAGCTGCTGAAAATGGTGGAGGATCAAGGAGTTGCCGAGAGGAAGAAAAGGAGTTGAAGTGTTGAAAAAAATGGGAAGGCCCTGCCTGAGGGAGCTGAGAGGAGCAGCCCCCTTCTTTCCTCTTTTCCCAGGGTTAGTCAGAAACATATTCTATTGCCCCTCTTCTCTCGTGCTTTCCTTCCTTTCAAAATTGAATGGATCCGATGGCTGGTCAATTTCCTCCACAGTTATGGCGCAAGTTCCCCACCATTGTTTTTCGTCTTCTCTTTAGTGCTCTCCTTTTTTATTTGTTTCCTTCGTCCTCATTTGGCTTGGACTCTTGATCTTTCTTCTGCCTTTTTAGCATCAATTTGTCCGTTCCTTCATAATCCTCCGCCTGCCCCCTATACCTTTTCTTTTTGTCTTTAGCCAAGCACAGCACTCAAAAATCTAAGTGGTAGGGTGTCTTCGGCATGGTAAGCTCACTTTCAATTCCTTTTTTTTTTTTTTTTGGATTTTTTATTTACTTTTTAGGAAACTTTGTAAGTACAAAAACAGAAGGGAAAAAAAGTTAAAAATTATGAAATAACTGGAAATCGACAAAAATCACTTTTGCATTTTTTTCAACTTTTTATATTTTTTTTAAATATTTAGAAAATTAAATTTCTATAACATAATATTAAATATATTTTAATTAATAATAACTTTAAGTAACTCAACAATTTATTTATACATAAAACTTTAGTTTTATATATATAAATTGAATATTAACCAATTATTTTCTCAACATATATTTAATATATTAATGAAAAATTTATTATTTTAATTAAATTTTATTTCATAACATTAGTAATATATCATACATAATAATTATATATAAACATATACTCTTAACATGTAAATTTTAATTGGATGATTATGAACACATATACACTAATTAGTTCTTTGCAAATACCATGGTTGTAATCTTTTTTCATCATTGATTATTTGTTTTGGATTACAAAATAGATTTTTTTTTATCTAAATCTTTATATTTTTAAATTACATAATATTTATATAATTATATAAGAAAATATTTAGTTACATTTAAGAGGAATTAGATATGAAACAAAAATTGCAACCTAAAAAAATAGAAATAAAGTAGGACATACAAACTTTATTTAATATTACAATCATTCAACCATTAAAAACATAATCATATTGATTTTTAAATGTCTATAACCATTAATCATGCATAATAACATATTCATATGCATAAATAAATATATTGCATGCTTCAATTCTAATTATTGACTTTATGTTTAATTTTAAAATAATATTTATAACACTTATAAATATTAAATAAAATCTAATTTGATAATTTTCCATACATAATAAATTTTATTTAATATAATTTGTTTAAAATAATTTTCAATGATTTAATAAGAAAATCATTAATTAAAATTCTTGATAACATCCTCAACTATTTTATGATCAATTGCATAAAAAATTTCAGTATAAAAACTCCTTTTATTTTAGAAAAAAAATATTTTAAAAATATTATTTAATTAAACATTTTAGTTAAATCCTAGTCCTATTAGGACCAAAACTCAAAAAGATTTAATTAAAAATTTTATTTAAATCCTAATCCTATTAGAAAAACCAATTCTATAATTAATTTAATTTAATTTAAGATTTCAATTTTAATATAAAATCAATATTTTATATGTCTAGGGATAAAATTGTAATTATGCCTAAAATACCTATTGTAATAAGGTATAAATTACTAGGTAAATTTGTAATTTAAACCCCAGAAACCCAAAAATTAGATTAGGGACATAATCGTAATTCTGCCTCTCCTCTTCTTTCTTCTCCATGCTGCCAGCAGTGGGCTAGCAATTGTTACTATTATTGCCGGCATGGGCTTCCCACGCCAATGGCAGCCTTCAACTGCAACACCAATGTTGTCGCTACACCACTTACAACGCTGATGCATCTGCAGTACGAGGCAGCCGCTGCATAACACTACCCATAGCGCCATGGCTGTTGTCGCGGCCATGTTAAGTTGTTACTGCTTGCCAAAGCTGAGCTGACCACAACCAGGAATACTAGCAGTGCTGGTGACGTCGCTTATTGAGTTGCAACCACTAAATAGATTTTATTTTCTTTTTATTTCAAAGGTGGGTCCTGACTAGAACTGAAAAATTCAACCTAATGATAATAACTTTATAT